TCCAGGTTTCGTGGTTCATGAACTATGCTATTTAGTTTCCCTTTGCTCCAGTAACAGGATGATGACGAAGGCCTACTTCTTCCTTTCACTAACATTTGCGAGTAAATTTGAGGCTCATTGAAATCATCAGGATTATTCACACTTGCTAGAATTAGGCATAGAGCCATTGGGTATTGTGCAAATTTCCTCCCCAAACCTTTCACCTGCCCTGCAGCATCCACTCCTAATCCACCCACCACCAGCCCGAGTCAGTCTATAAAGTTAAACCAATGCACCTCAGCCATATAGCAACACTCCTTACCGGTCTAATCCAGGGCCCAGCACAGAGCTGCCTACGCCTCTCAGTGCTGACTTGCAACAATCTTTGCAGAGCTGCTCCTGACCAGAGGCTCTTACATAGTGGTTTTGGGATGCAGACAAAGGATCCATCAGGCACTAAGGTGGAACCAATTAACTTGTTTTCACAGTTTCAGGGGCATCTTCAGCCAGAGTTTTTCCACCAGCCTGGGCAAGGGTAGGACAAACCAGCTCAGGATTCAGTTACAAACCTCAACGAGTCCCAAATGAGATATCCCAGTGTGGTGCACCCACGTTTGTACAGCCCCTGCGCCCGTGTCTCAGCAGTGGGCACATCCATAATGTATAGGAACGTCTAGGAAATTGTCACGCCTCGTCCCCGGGCCTCAATCAAACAGCATCAGCAACGATTTGAACGGAAAGTAATCCTAAACCATCTGCTGAAAGGGAGAGAAAGGATTCCCATATGGTATTCCAGAGATGACACTTGATGAGACATTGCTGCAAGGGCTAAACCTGGTGCTATAGTATGTGACCTCCTATTCATCTTCCCTCGCGGGGAGGAGTTCACTGAAAAATCCCTGGAGCTTTTCTTTCTCATCCCTTGTTGAGGGGCGTAGGGGAGGAATGACTCCTAGCTGTTTAAGAGACACTCATATAATCAGTCTCCCCTGTGCCATGGGGTTATGGCTAGAATCCACTCAGAGGGTTTCTTTTTACAGTTTTAGGTCAGAAGTGGCTCTCAGGCAAAGGACTCCCTCTGTCTGTTGGCAATATACTTGGAAGAACAAGAACTGCCGCAGACAGTATGTTAGCCAATAGGTTTGTAGCACATGACAAACCGAATCAGGCTATATACCCCTACAGGTTCTGATAACATCACATGGCACTGAATTTACCAGGCTGAGGGGCAGGATGCCAGGTTTCTGTGGCCTGGACGGTCTGAGGCCAGGACGTTCAGAAGTGACTAGTGATTTTTAGGGGCCCAACTTGAGACACCTTAAAGGGGCCTGATTTCCAGGAAGTATTGAGCACCTGCGCTCTGCAAATCAGACTCCTTGAAGGTGGGCACCCAAAGTTGCTAGTCACTTTTGAAGATCTTGACCCCAGATCTTAGCGCCCTATGCAGTTTCCTAAAATAATGCTTTGCACTTAATATTTTCCTTTTATGTTGTGTCTTCCATCCTGCAACACCCCCAGACAACAGCACTAGACATGCAGCCACCCAGTATACAGCATGCTGCATAACCACAAGTGCAAGGCTTTTAACCAAGGAGACCACGACAAACCTCGGATCGTATAAAATATCCCACAGGCTAGAGACAAACTTCTGCTGCTAACTAGTGAAAGAGAAATCTCATGGGGCTCTCCAAACATTAATCTAATTAGCCCTCAGAACAGCTTTGTGAGGTAGCTTGTATTGTTCCCAAGTTACAGATTGGAAAACTGAGGCAAGGAGAGGGTCAGTGGCTAGCCCATAACCACACAGAGTCAATATTAGATTAGACTGTAGAATCCCCTGCTCCCAGTCCTGTGCTCAAAGCATGTTTCTCTGATTTACTCTAAGGGCGGTTTTAAAGGATGGGACATAGGATTTGTACTGAAGTGCAAGAAAATCCCCCCAAAACATAGTAATTATAGACTCATAGACTTTAAGGTCAGAAGGGACCACCATGATCATCTGGTCTGACCCCCTGCATGCTGCAGGCCACAAAACCGTCCCCACCCCTTCCCTGGACTCTGCCGTTGAAGTCCCCAATCCTGTTTTTAGTGACTGCAATCGGCAGAGACCCTCCTGCTAGAGATCCCTGCCCCATGCTGCGGAGGAAGGCGAAAAACCTCCAGAGGCTCAGCCAATCTGCCCTGGAGGAAAATTCCTTCCTGACCCCAAACGTGGCGATCAGTAAGACCCCGAGCATATAGGCAAGAGTCTCCAGCCCGACCCCGTTAGCCATTATACTATTTACCCACCATTGCTTGGCTTTTCCTAATTCTAGCATGTGATAGCCAGTAGGAATTCAGTGTGCACATGAGAACCAGCATTGCCAGCCCAATTTGTAAAAGCAGGCCTCCAGAATGCATCTTGGCCTTTGGGCTCATGTCAGCATTTGTGGTCACTGGAGTCTGGGGTGTCTACTTTGCAAAAAAAAAATCAGGCTCTCAGCTGAGCTCAGCTACCTCTGGCATCATATTCCTCTTACCCAATAATCAGCTTCTCATAATGGGCCTGAAAAATCCAACTGGAAGGGTCAAAACTCCAGCATTTGACGTTAAATATGCAGGTCAGGCAGGAACATTTTTGTTCATCTTCTCAATAGAAAGCACTAGCCTTTTCGTTGGGAGTCCTGTGATTACGTTTAAACTTGCAATCAGAAAGACTGACTGCAGCTGCTCTCCCCTCCCCCTCCTGGTTTAGAGGGCATTGAACCTCTTAGCCTTTGCTTTTGTGGTTACTGTGATGGCCTTGGGGCTGGCACTTTTGTCTAACGGTGACAGCAGGTGATGAGGAGTCAGAACTTCTAGGTGCTTTCCCCAGCTCTGCCACTAACATTTATCATTTGTATTTTGGTAGGTAGTGCCTGAGGCTCCAACCAAAATTAGACCCACCTTGTGCTAGGCACCACACAGACAGGAGGCTCTCTGCTCTGAAGAGCTTACAGGCTAAATAGACAAAAGGTGGGAGGGGAAGTGACTTGTCCAAGCTCAGCCAAGAGGTCAGCAGTGGAGCGGAGGGAACAGAACCCAAGTCTCCTGACTCCCACTGTAGCAGCCTATCCACTGGACTGCACTCTCTCTCACTGCTCTAACTTGCTGTGATGTTGGGTCAGGCATTTAGGGGCCAGATTCTCAGAAGTGTCGAGCACTCCCAGACCCCACTAACATCAGTGGGCTCTGCAAGTGCTGAGCAACTTGGAGGGGAGGGAGGGGGAAAAAAAATCAGACCATTTACCTCTCTGTGCTTCAACATCTGTAAAATAGATAAAACACAAGGTAGGTGGGAGGGGGGCTACGGTGCTTATTAGCGTTTGGAAAATGCGGTGAGCGCCCTGGATTTAGAAATGCAAAGTAGTATACGCAGACCCTCTATACGTTTGTCAAGCCACAGACTTTATCTCCCTGCACTCTCCAGCTGCCTAATTAAGAACAATCTGCCCAGCTGTAACGCTCCTCCCCCCCCGCCCCCCCTAGGGGAGGCTGCTCTTTTGTAGCTGAACTGCAAAGTAACAGCCCCGAGGGTCACTGGAACAACCTGCCTCATTATTATTGGTTTGGTTGGGTTTTTAGCTGCACCGTCAAGTCTTGTGCTGTAAGAAAGTTGTCTTAGATTAAAGTGGAGGGACTGGGGAAGGGGTAGAGGGAGAGGCTGGGCCTTATTTAATGTAATTTGTATTAAAGTAGTGTCCAAAGCCCCTGGTCAGGATCAGAACCCCATTGTTCTGGATGCTGTACAAGGCAATCCTTGCCCATGACTAGGGCCCTACCAAATTCATGGCTGTGAAATCTGGTCTGTTGTGTACTTTTACCCCATATTCTACAGATTTCACATGCGAAACCAGCATTTCTCAAACAGGAGGTCCTGACCCAAAAGGGGGTTGCAAGGTTATTGTAGGGGGGTCATGGTATTGCCACCTTTACTTCTTTGCTGCCTTCAGAGCTAGGTGGCCAGAGAGGAGTGGCTGCTGGCCAGGTGCCCAGCTCTGAAGGTAGCACCCTGCCACCAGCAGCGCAGAAGTAAGGGTGGCAATACCAACCCCGCCCCCCACAACACCCTTTTGGGTCAGGACCCCTACAGTTACAACTCTGAAATTTCAGATTTAAATATATGAAATCATGAAATTTATGATTTTTTAAATCGTATGACCGTGAAATTGAGCAAAATGGACCGTGAATTTGGAGGGCCCTACCCATGACTGGTATAGAGCAGGGGCAGATGGAGAGGACAGTAGCTTGTCCAGAACGCTGAACAATGGTGTGTGGTTAGAGACTGAATGAAGATAGGAAGGCCCCTGCTAAACGCAAGTATTTATTTTCAGGACTTAGCGAGTGGCAGGGCCCTCTGAAAGCCATTAGATTGCGGACCTCCTCTCCCCACCACTCAAGGCTGCTCCTCCTGTCACATAGGATTGGAAGTCTGACTGCCAGCTTGGCAGCAGCCCTGGCTAGTTGGGAGATTTGGGTTTGACTCCTCCTCTTACTTAAAACCAGCGGGGGGCCAGGAAACTGGAGGCAGCTTGTTTGTCCTGGAGGCAAGGGAATGAGTAACAGGCTGAGTAAGGAGCAGCACAAGACCGGTTGCAATAAAGGGTTTTTAAGGGACAGGAGAAAAGAGAACTGGGATGGGTCTCATGGCTCTGATCGTGGTATAAAGGGCCCTCTGTAGAAGTTTAGAAACACCAGTATATTTGAGAGCACTCCCAGTAGTTAAGTTGCGACCACACTGGTACCAAGCCTTGAGACTGAATTTCCAATCCTGTTTGATACCAGTGCAGTGGTGCCCCCCACCTCTAGGATTGGGCCTAGGCATTTGCAATGCTGTTTTAACAGAAGGGATGAGCGCTCATCGCAGAGTAACACTGGGAGCACAAATCCCGATGGAGGAAGATACTCAGAGCCGCCCCTGCTCTCAGGCTGTACAATGAAAACCCAGCCCAGTGAGTCCCTGCGCTAATCAGTTTTCCGTGATTCCTTCTTGGTTGTGGCAGGTCGAGTTGGGAGCTCCCGGACCTGCAAGATGGCAAGATACAGGCCATAAGTGACTCGGACGGTGTGAACTACCCCTGGTACGGCAACACCACAGAAACCTGCATGATCGTGGGACCCACCAGGAAGGAATCCAAGTTCAACATCAGTATGAATGATAACTTCTACCCAAGCGTCACGTGGGCGGTGCCTGTGAGCGAGAGCAACGTGGCAAAACTCACGAGCATCTACCGGGATCAAAGCTTCACCACCTGGTTGGTTGCCACCAACATGGCCACCAGCGAGATGGTGACCCTGCAGACTATCAAGTGGCGTATGAGGCTGGGCATAGAGGTGAATCCCAGCAGACCCTTGGGGCAGCGTGCTACGCTGCGGCAACCCTTTGCTCAAGAGCAGCCCCAGGTCCTTAGCAAGAATGAGCCAATACCACCCAGTGCCCTTGTGAAACCCAATGCCAATGATGCTCAGGTACTCATGTGGAGGCCAAAGGACGGGCCACCACTAGTGGTGATCCCTTCAAAATATCGGTAATAGCAACCTGGCATCCCGGCACCAGAAGGGAAGAAAATAACCCTGCACTTAGATACTTTTAGAATCTAAGCAAAATTGAGATGCACTTTTTATTCATTCAACAGAAATGCAACCATTCTACCTTCTCCCATTGGGACGGATCTCACTGTGCTAAAGCTAAAGAGGAGACCTTACCAGGGTCTGTCTCGTCACTTTGATTCCTAAGCGAGGAATCAGCAAACTAAACTTTATTTCTAGCCCTGTAGCTTTCTTTTCTTCCTGACTTTAGTTATTGTTTGAACTTCAGTCTCATTAGCTCACCCAGATTGTCCAGAACAAAATAAGGTTTTTATCTGGGATTTTATTATGTTTGGTGGGAGGAAAGGGATTTTTTTTTCTCTCCCCAGAATGAAACTCAAGTTCCTGGAGCTAAACGCTGACTATTTATTTATTATTATGGGGTTTTTTAAAATGATAAAAGGTTCTGAGTTGCAAACCTAAGTCATGCGGCCTTATGTAGACTTTGCTTTGCATTGCCAAACTTTTGCCTTAACGCTGTGTTTGAAAGAAAATTTAATCTCACCAAGAAGAATCTCTTTTCTACAGGATTTTAGGGAGGGTCAGGGGAAGCGTTCTGGAGCAAGGGATAGATTGTCAGTGTATCAAGGGATGAGGAGGAAGGAATGAGAATGGAAGAAACCAGATTAAAAAGAAAACCTTCCTGGTTTTAAACATGGAACAAGAAAGCATGGAAATAAACCCAGCTCAAAACCAGTTGTTTTGCTGTATGAGCAGAAACGGGACTAGTATTGCACACAGTTGCAATGCAAGTAACAAGTTTGTTAGAGAACCATCTTTGGACAAGAGCTGCCAGGCCCCTCACTGCTCGATAGAAGGGGTCGTCACAGCCTTGCATTGCTTCAACTTTCTGAGCTGAGCTTGAGAATACGGAACAATCCAGACAGTGGTGGGAACGACTGGAGATGTGGTACTCAAAAAGAAACACAAATCAGGGGAGTCATTTCCATCTTGCTTGTCCTGAGGAGATGACTTTCTCCTTCCAAACTAGCCCACTATTATTTCCCCCGAGGGCATCGTGAGTGGTGGGTCACACACAAGCTGTAATATATGTGGGGTCAAATTCTGCCATTGGTTACTCCCACGAAACCCCAATTAATTCATAACAGGTGGGGTGAGAGGAGCAAGGTACAGCAGGACCCATCTAAAATCACTGGGGCTGCATGGGTGTAAATGAGGGCAGCTGTTGTCCACTGGAGTCTCTGACTCAGGAAGAATTATACCTGTGAAAATAACATGCACCCTTCCTATTAACAGTGAAAACAAAAAAAGTCTCCTCTTACTATAGCTTTAGTGCTCACCTGGGCTGATGGAGAACCAGCCTCATGGTCCCACCAGATTCAGATGGCTTTCAGTGATAAGGGTTGTAGGTGAAGACACAGCTACAGAGATATGGTGGAAGCATACATGTGTAAGCAGGCGACCCCTAATAAGGTGAAAATAATGCAAAATTTGCATCCTGCGGGGAGGATGCTGCGGGAAGTCATGTCTGTTTGGAACATAAGTCAGGGCCCTAAGAAATCATTTGGTGGATCTCCTGGGTGGCCTCAGAGACACCACCAGTATTTCTCCAAAGACAGGAAGCATGAAAAGGAGGCAGCTCAACTGAGACATGTGTGGCTGAGGGGAGTTTAGAAATGGAGGAACTTGTATGGTGGAGGCAGCGTGAGCTGGAGAACAGGGCAGGGGCTGGGAGGAGGAGACCTACCTTCTGTTTTCAGCTCTTGTTGTATGGCCTCAGGCAAGTCTCTTCACCGCTCCACTGCACCTGTAAAATGGGGATAGTGACACTTCCCCTTACCGAGGAATTGCTTAGGGACTAAGAGTGCGCACATGTTCTGTACCTGGCTGGTCCCTGCTCAGCTGGTCTCACCGGGACTCCCAAGACTCCCATCTGGATCTGCCGTTTCCCACGCTATGCTCCAAGCAGCTCTGTCTCTCCCCCACACTCATCGGCGAGCTGCTAGCATTGCAGCCAGCCTCCATGCACGCTCTTTAAAGAGTTCCCCAGCAAGACAGCCTTATGGTATACCAGGACCCTCCCTACTTTGTGTCCAACCCCTTTATTTTGGCAGCATGCTCAAATGCCACCCTCCCGCCCAGGGACCAGAAGCCTCAATGCCTGCTTCCAAGCCCCAGCATCCCATATGACAGCACCTATAGTCATCCTCCACACCACCAGAGTCAGAGTTGATCTAGGAGGAGGAGGAGGAGGAGATCTAGAGAGGATGATGAATCATGCTTGAGAGACCTCGTGGTGTGCATGGCGACTGCCTCCATCATTCTTAAGTTCCCCTTTCTTAGGTCTAATCAGCTCCCAGCTACAGCTTGTACAGACTTGTACAGACCCTTGAGACTTATCCATATCCTCTCCCAGGCAATACCACGCCATAGCAAATCACTGACTACGGCAAAACCTCCTCCTGCTGTGTCCGGACTGGTGATAGTTGGGATGGGCCCAAGTGGTGAAGCTTGCATCCATTTCTCAGCAGCCCTAAAGTTTAGTGTGTGCGCGCGTTAGGGGAGGGAGGGGAAGGAAGGGGGAGGTGTTCTTCAGGCCTGGCATTATTTTGAGCCCGTTTCTGAAGTGCTGAGTATTTGCAGCTCCTTTTGACTTCAGTACAGGTTGGGTTCTCAGCACCTCTGGAACAAAAAAATCAGAACCCACTGTCTTAACTAGCTATATGAAGGAGTGTTCTGAGGAAAGATTTCTTCTCCTGCTCATCCGAAATCACATTCAGGGAATCCTCAGGTCATATTTCATTTAGCGTGGCATTGGGCGTAGTCTCTGGGTACATTAAACAAGCCAGATTCCTACTACCTATCTTGCTGGGTTGGATACACCCCTGCAATTTGACATTAACCTCCTTGCTAAGACTCTCCTGCTGCACTGAGTAGACCTGGCTGGGCAGTAAATGTGAGAATGAAGGTTCACGTCAGGGGTCAGTTTTGCAAGGCCTTTAACTCCCACTCCATCCCAAGAATGCCTCTCCCGTTTCCTTGTTGGAAACATCCCTCCCTCCTCCCTTTGTGCTGTCAGACGCTAGTGTAGAAAAAGGACACTGCCTTTTTAAGACTTCATGCTTTGGGATTAAATAAATGATGTTTTTCCAATGCTGCTTCATTACGAAAACTGCTGAGGACAGATTGAGCCAACACAAAAGGGGTGGCGGCTGGAAATGAAAAGTGCTATGCACACCACTATTTATATGGCTGGTTAATAACTCAATAGCCATATATTTAGAATTGCTGCGCATAGCACTTAGCCTCTCCTTTGGTACTTGAATCTTCAGGGCACCAGCTCATGCTGCACTGAGTGGCTGCAATCAGCAGAGGTAAATACAGCTGAGCTCTCTCTCTATTAGGGTGCTCTGGAGCCAAGCAATTGCTGGGGTTGTACGAGGGACGTGTCCTGAAGGAAGTGCAGAGCTAAAGCTGGGTATTGCTGGAAACTAGATCTGTACCCAGAGGTGCAATAGCTCATGTGTGCAACGTGAGTGTGGTAGCTCTGGTGATCCCATCTTACTCCTCTCATGATGGGCAGTTCTCGACAGCCCCAAACCACTGCATGAGCTGAAATGTGCCAGTCTCTGCTCAGGAAGGACTGGGTCAGTCTCTGCTGCAGATCAGGAGAGAGAGGATGGGCAGAGCTGCGGAGGGACCGGGATGGAAACAGCAAGGGGTCCCTCATGTTAACTTCCATCTCCCGCACATTGAAAGGAGGCAGGATTTCATTTGTGCTAGTGAACAAGAACCCCACGTGAGCAATGGCACATGGATTCCATTCCTGGCTTCCATTATGCTTGTATGCACCAGCTAGCATGGCAAGCAGCAGCAGAGAGCCCGCAGTGAGCTCAGAGAAAGGCAGTTGGATTAGGATGGTGCTTTGGCGGGGGGAGAGAAGGGTTACCTTAGACCCCGTAGCAGAGGTTCCTCTCTAGCATTCTGCTCACATTCATGCCGCAGCAATATGAACCGTCCTTGGGGTCTGGCAGAGATACTGTGAAAACATAATGAAGATGTACCAAGTCTGGACACTTAACAGAAATGTAAAAATAAAACCCTGCTTTTATAATGGAGAGAAATAAAGTGGAATTTTCAAACAAATCTGCCGGAGTGGTTGGGGGCGGGGTTTGGATATTTTTTAAGGTAAAGATTACATGGTGTTTGCATTCATGCTCAGATCTCTATATTAAACAAACACTCTGCTTGCAGCGTATGTGCTGTTTGTGTGTGCATTTCCACAATGTGTGGAGGTACTGCTTAAAAATACAGGGGAGCTTTCCACCCTCCGGGCTGATATGTGCCCTGCAATAAAACTGCGAGGCTAACCTAGCCTGGAGCACCCATCAGGGTAGACACCAGTTGAGCTTCTGCACAATTTGGTTACCTGATGTGGTTTTCACACTCGCTCGGCAAGTGGCTTGCCAAACTTTTTATCTGCCTAGACACTGCATCTTGAGAGACCCATCTCTTTTCCCAGGCTCCTACCCTCACTTGCTCCTCAAATGGTTCCATACTGAGCACTGCCAAGCACTAGCGGCAGGTGAGCAGGGCAACTGCCCTGGATACCAACTTGCAGGGGTTACTCTGCAGCTGTGCTGATTGGCTGGATTTGGTTTTGGGTTTTTTTGGCATGGCGCTTCGATGCAGGAGGGAGGTGGCTGAAAAATGCCTAGGGCCACTTCTGCAAGCAGAGCTTTGTAGACTTTTGCTGGACTTCAGGATATAATTTTAGAACCACTGGTCTATAGGAATAACTTCAACTGCCCCCCTTCCATCTGTCTCCAGAATTCCCCCCTCCCCCTCCTCTTGCCATTGTTAGGATTCACGTCACTTTTCAAGAAGGACGGCAGCACCTAATCCAACAGGAAAGTGTCCAAGGAGAAGGTAGGGACCTGGGCTTTAGGCCAACAGCTCCAGGCTAATAGATTAATCAATAGGACCTCTCGTGGCATTGCCTAGGTCTCAACTGCAACTTCCTCTTGACATTCAGCTAGCCACACTGTGGGTCCCCCCCCCAGGAAATACATCTTTGCATCTAGTTTTGGATCGTCACTTTCCCTTTTGCAGAACCACTGCTGTCTGACCACTCACTGCTGTCAAAGGTGCGAGGTCAGGCAGGGACTTCTCAGCAAGGAGTCTGAGAAAGGCCCAACCTGTTCTATGCAAGAGGTGCCACCCTTCAGTGCTGGCTATTTCCTGGCAGATCAAGGACACCTGCTCTTGTGCAGACTGTCTTTCTGTAACTGCAGCAAGGCAGTTCGGTGGCTTGCCCAGCACATGCCCATGAAAAAGGGCACAAAGGGACTGCTTCTGCTGTGTAGATGTGGGTGCACATGTGCTCCTTATTTTATCCACCAGTTAGGCCTGATTTCCAAGATACCAATTTTGGTTGCTTGATTTCTGTTCCGCTTGTTTACCAGTCATAATCGTAACAGTCCTTGAGTAGTATCAGTTGATCCTTTCTGTTTAAATTAATTCAGTCTGTTTGTCTCCTCACAGCTTTCCTTAATCAGTGTTATAGAGAGAGTTCATTGTGACCATTCATGAACCTCTGCCCACTTTTCAGCAATTTAGCTTATGACTATGGTAAATTTGCAGACTGCATTACCACATCAACTCCCTTCTGTGCCCTACCCACAGAGGATGAGAGTCTATTAAGGCCCACAGCTACCAAGCCTGATTCTTTAGCTCAAACTGGAGAGACCCCTGCCATTAGGTCTAGAGTTACCTAGTGCTAACCCCTAAATCCCCATGGCATCCTAAAAAATGGGTACCAATGACATAGGGAAGGATAGGAGAGACGTCCTGGAGGCCAAATTTAGGCTGCTAGGAAAGAGACTGAAATCCAAGACCTCTATGGTAGCACTCTCAGAAATGCTTCCAGTTCCATGCACAGGGCCAGGTAGGCAGGCAGAGCTTCAGAGTCTCAATGCGTGGATGAGACGATGGTGTAGAGAGGACGGGTTTAGATTTATTAGGAACTGGGGAAGCCTATGCAGGAAGGATGAGCTCCACCTAAACCAAAGTGGATCCAGACGGCTGGCACTTAACATTAAAAAAGGTTGCAGAGCAGTTTTTAAACTAAGAGATGGGGAAAGCCAGTTGCTAAAGAGGAGCACGTGGATTGGACAGAGACTTCTCTTAGAGGAGAGTCTATTGATAGAGAATCTCTAGGTTTTAGTCAGGAGCAGAGGAGGGAAGAGGATAAAGTATGGGCCAGACCAGATGAAAAACATTCACATAAAAAAGAATCTGACACATCAGAAAAGGGCAGACAAACAGTGACAAGTTTTTAAAGTGCTTGTACACAAATGCTAGAAATCTAAATAATAAGATGGGTGAACTAGAGTGCCTCGTGTTAAAGGAGGATATTGATATAATAGGCATCACAGAAACCTGGTGGAGTGGGGACAATCAATAAGACACAATCATTCCGGGGTACAAAATATATCGGAAGCATAGAACAGGTCATGCGGGGGGGGGGGGGAAATAGGACACACTATATGTGAAAGAAAATGTAGAATCAAATGAAGTAAAAATGAATCCACATGTTCCATAGAATCTCTATGGATAGTATTTCCATGCTCTAATAAGAATATAACAGTGGGGATCTATTATCGACCACCTGACCAGGACAGTGATAGTGACGATGAAATGCTAAGGGAGATTAGAGAGGCTATCAAAATAAAGAACTCAATAATAGTGGGGGGATTTCAATTATCCCCATATTGACTGAGTACATGTTGCCTCAGGACAAAATTCAGAGAGAAAATTTCTCGAAACTTTAAATGACTTCTTCTTGGAGCAGCAGGTACAGGAACCCACAATGGGAGAGGCAAGTCTCCATTTAGTCCTGAGTGGAGCGCAGGATTCTGTCTAAGAGGTAACTATAACAGGACCGCTTGGAAATAGTGACCATAATATAACAACATTTAACATTCCTGTGGTGGAAAGAACACCTCAACAGAGAACAAAGGGTAGGAATAAATAGTAAATTTTCAGAATGGAGAGGGGTAACTAGTGGTGTTCCCCAAGGGTCAGTCCTAGGACCAATCCTATTCAACTTATTCATAAATGATCTGGAGAAAGGGGTAAACAATGAGGTGGCAAAGTTTGCAGATGATACTAAACTGTTCAAGATAGTTAAGACCAAAGCAGACTGTGAAGAACTTCAAAAAGATCTCACAAAACTAAGTGATTGGGCAACAAAATGGCAAATGAAATTTAATGTGGATAAATGTAAAGTAATGCACATTGGAAAAAATAACCCCGACTATACATACAATATGATGGGGGCTAATTTAGCTACAACTAATCAGGAAAGAGATCTTGGAGTCATCATGGATAGTTCTCTGAAGACATCCACCCAGTGTGCAGCGGCAGTCAAAAAAGCAAACAGGATGTTAGGAATCATTAAAAAAGGGATAGAGAATAAGACTGAATATTTTATTGCCCTTCTATAAATCCATGGTACGCCCACATCTTGAATACTGCGTACAGATGTGGACTCCTCATCTCAAAAAAAATATACTGGCATTAGAAAAAGTTCAGAGAAGGGCAACTCAAATGATTAGGGGTTTGGAACGGGTCCCATATGAGGAGAGATTAACGAGGCTAGGACTTTTCAGCTTGGAAAAGAGGAGACTAGGGGGGGATATGATAGAGGTCTATAAAATCATGAGTGGTGTGGAGAAAGTGAATATGGAAAAGTTATTTACTTGTTCCCATAATATAAGAACTAGGAGCCACCAAATGAAATTAATGGGCAGCAGGTTTAAAACAAATAAAAGGAAGTTCTTCACACAGCCAGCCTGTGGAACTCCTTGCCTGTGGAGGTTGTGAAGGCTAGGACTATAACAGGGTTTAAAAGAGAACTAGATAAATTCATGGAGGTTAAGTCCATTAATAGCTATTAGCCAGGATGGATAAGGAATGGTGTCCCATGCCTCTGTTTGTCAGAGGGTGGAGATGGATGGCAGGAGAGAGATCACTTGATCATTACCTGTTAGGTTCACTCCACCTGGCATTGGTCACGGTCGGTAGACAGGATACTGGGCTGGATGGACCTTTGGTCTGACCCAGTATGGCCGTTCTTATGGCAGCAGACACATGTGGCACTAGGACAAAGAGACCAGGCCTTCAGTTCTAAACCCTCTATCCTCAAACACCCTGCTTCTCTCCCTGGGCTCCTTTAGCAATCAGTACAGCAAGCACCTTTATACTCTCTATGCTGCAGCCAACCGTTTGAGGGCCAGCGGATCTCTCACTATCCCAAGGCCGTGTGCGAGGTATGCACCATGTGTGTGTGTACAGGAAGCTATTGGCTGTATGGACATGTACCTGAGACTGAGCGTGAGTATCAGGACATTGAACAAGCATGTAGGTAAAAGCAAAACATGAACGTGAGGACACATATGAGTATGCGGCTGGGGAGGAGATGGGGATAAAGTATTTTGTAGGCTGTGGCTTAGTGACAGGAATTTGCAGGGATGGAGACTGAACAGAAGAGAAGACAGGTTCCAAGTGGGATTCATTTCCACAGCGGAAACTCTCCAGCCTTACATGCTGATAGCAGGTTAAATTTAGCTGTCCCAGGGTTTTTTTTTTGGGGGGGGGGGAGAGTGGGGGGGAAGGGGGAAGATACCAGTCTATCAACAGCTGCTTTGGGCTACACACTTAAGGAGGTGAAAGGCTCCAATCACTTGTTGTATGTGTAGAAGAGTCCAGATATTTCCCTAGGAGAATTGGGGAAAAAGAGCAGCAGAGGCAGCTGTAGTATTCATTGCTGAACCCCTAAATCCCCCTGGCATCTTTAAAAAAAAAAAGGCCCAACACTCTTTTTTCATTGCCAAGGTTGAGAAGCCCAGCAGAAAAACAAAAAAATCCATCAGCCCACCAAGATCAGACAGGATCCTCTGGTTAGAGAAGTAGTCAGGGGGTCAGGTGGTAGGGGGATGTGTGACTAGAAGCCATGTGAAAAGGGAGGCAAAGCTCTATGCCAGGACTCCCCGGTCACTGGGCTAAATGAAAATGCAAGTCAGAGGCCAGCATGAGCACCACACATGAAAAGGAAGGACGATCGCAAGGCTGGATGTGTCATTTACATCAAAGGCTGCAGGGTCACCTTTAGCAATTGATGTCAGGAGTCGGCAGGTCCCTTGAGCATTTGAGAGCCCTGGCTGGTGCCGGAGGAATGTGTAGCAGCCTCCTCCAACTCATAGGTTCCAGCTCTCAAACACTTATTTTCCTTCGAGGTCACCGGTAACAATAGTGCTCCAGGCCAGAGCAGCTCTTAGTCCTGTTCACGTGGCCAGACATGCTGTCAGGGAAAGTAGAATTGCAGTCCAGTCACTGGTTACAGAAGATGGCATGGGGATTGGCCATGTGGCCAGACACCTGCACCATAAACTGAACTGACTATAGGCTCTCTGTGCAGTGCCTCCACTCTTAACGAACAGACACTTCCCCTCCCCGCAGCCCACGGGGGTAGGGGGCGTTGAAGTTGGTGAGCCTAGTTTCTGTTCTTCACCACTTTGATTCGTAATTTCATGGCCCCTTTTTTTAAAGTGGAATAATGCCTCAGATTTTATTACTCTTCAGTTGTTAGCAGAAGTTTCCTATTTATCTCCACGGCGCTGCTCAGAACCATTTTCAGTGAACTTCCATCTGCTGTCACAGGCTGGGCTGTGTCTTCTGCCGTCTTGCACCGTGGTGACCTCTGACGTGCATCACCTGCAGATGTTGCTTTTACTTCCCAATGTTGTTACGTTTTAAAACAAACGCTTTTCCATAAAGTACAGAGATGGTTTGCATCTTTAATTCGGAGTGCTGTGAGTTCTGTGCACTTAACTAAAAAAAGTGGCATGAATAACTTCTAATTTTCCCACCCGACTCTCCCAAGCTAAACCTTGGTGCGTCACCTTTATAATAGAGCCAGTTTTTTATGGGGAAGTAATAACTTGAGCCCTTTGGCTTCCTGCAACAATACTAAAAAAAACAAAAAACAAACCAACCTCCCCCAAACCCCTCTCCCCAGGTCTTGATTATGGCAGTCTGAATGCTGTCCAGGTCACTCAAGAGTCAGATCTGAACCTCAAGCAATTTATAGTTTTGGGGTAATTCAGGCCCCTCCCCACAAAAATCAACCCGGGGTTTATTCTTTGATTTTGGAGGTTTCAGGCTCATTTACAGCCAAAATACTTGGAAGCCCAAACCTCCCCCCACCTGCAAATAAAACCAGAGAGTGAGCTCTGGTTGGATTTGCCTTAGGACAACATTATCACGCTAATCCCAGCATCCTCATCTTCTCTGCTCCTCGTGAGGTCACAGTTGTTCCCTCTCCAGCCAGTGTAGCGTAGTCATCTCAAGTCCTCAGTGTGGGAGCCGACCGTTTGCTTTAATTAAAAAGGAGACAGCCCTAGCTCTAGCTGAGACTGACAGAAAAGCCTCTCCCAGAGGAGGGGAGTCATAGGGCAGGATCCCTATGGCTAGGCTAGCGCTGTCTGCTGGTGCCCTTCCCCTCCTCATTTGGCATGGGAGCGAGTCAGCCAGGGAGGGAGCAATAACCCTGCGATGCCAAGGGAGACATTTACAGGACAGTCTCCACAAGAGCTTCCCGGAGGTCCCTCATCCTCTCACGCTCCCCCACAAAACATGCTGAACGTACACACGTGCATGGGCTAGAGATTAGCATCCCCCCGGGAGGTTAAACACGCCTCCAACCAAGCTGCGCTGCTTCTGCCAAGGGGGGGAGGGGGAAGAGAGGGGTCCTTTTGCTGCTGAATCTCAGTTCTGTCTATAAATTCTGAGCTGCTGCCTCCCCTTCCAGCCCGGCAGCTCCACTTGACATCTATCCCGCCATGAAAACTCCCTTGATACGAGGAGCCACGCTCCTGCCCAGGCCTCATGCAGGACAGTATTTCCTTGTATGCAACACGGGGAGCAATGCACAAGGGCAAGATGCATGAAAGTTAAGGGGAAGTGCTGAATAAAATGTCACCTTGGCCACCTTACAAACCGACAACCCAAATCCTTGCCTCACCGCAGCTGCATCATCCTTCGAGGGCTACTAGCGTACGAGTACCAGTGAAGGCCTCGTGTCCAGCTTGCAGCCATAGTACGGGGAGTGGGAGGGAAGGCAGCGCTAGCTGCTGAGTTAACCACAGCACTTCACTTCCCCCACCCCCGGACAGTGCAACACCAGCGGGAGCAGTGCTGCCACTGGATCCCAGTATCACGTGGCTGGGGTTATAAACTTGAGAGTGCAGGTCAAAGGGTCCATTTCCAATGACCACTCACCCCTGAGCTCTGCAGCCAATTAAAGTGCAACTCCGTCCAGCCATCGCTGTCACTACTGGAAGCCCAGCAGCCATCTCGGACTTCCCATTGAAGGGTGCATACCACTGTGGTCCTTGCTAAGCAGTGGAGGTCTTTGGAGACGTGGCCTATGTTAAATCCATGCAGCACTGCTCTGTGGTTCTGGCTCTGCAGCTCGAGTTGATGTGCACGTGGTAGGTATAACCAAGGAAGGTAGGTGGTTCACCCCTCCTCCAACCCTTGGTGGCTTTCCTGGCTGTCCCATGCCTAGCATCCCCCGTCTTGCTCAGATTCCGCCAGTAGAGGAATGTAGTTGTAAGTGGCCTTGTTATTTAGCTTCAGCAATTAGCAGAGCTGCCTGATCAAAAGATTCCCTCTTTGCTGAAGGGCTTTAGTTTTCATTCAGGAACCATTTGGAGCTCAGGGAAAAAACAACAGACCCAACGCTGGCACCAAGCATGGATGGATGTGTGTATCATCTTCTCAGACACCAGCCACGTACTGCCAGCAGAAGGCATGGGGCAATAGCTTCAGACAGGAGGCATTATACAGCCACGGCCTGAATGGTGCAGAGGTTTAATCAGACTTCTGGGAACCCAAATGCAAATTGACCTTTGCTCATGATTAGAAAGGAGCTGGAGGGGCTGATAGTGGAAGTGACCCAGGGCTGGAATGGCAGGTAGGATAGAATACGGTCAGTAACGACGTGTGTTGGCAGTGCTAGGTAGAGGTCTAGGACTGGAATAAGAGGTTAACCTAAAGGTGATTGGGATCTGGTATCAGAAAAGCAGGGGGCCCACTGACCTGTTTGTGGACGTTTACACCGTGTCTTTACGGAATTTGCTAGGCCTGGCTCCAGGAGGGTTATTGGTCCCTTATCTCCTTGAGAACTAAAATCAAAAAACAAAACTCCAAATAAAACAGTGCACAGGGCCTGAGCGTGCCCAGAACAAGATCTCAATCTTTTCCCGCGCTGCTGGGAATACTATTTAGTATTCAAATCGGAGTCCAGGATGACACCCCGGGACAGGTTTTCAAAGCTGCTCCAGCATCCACACTCAGGGACAGATTTTCAAAAGACACATGGAGTGCTGAGCACTGGAAACCTGGCCCTACAGCTACAAGAGCAGAACAAAGTTATTCCTTAAGGCTCTAACTCTGTATTCTGCTCCTGTCTTCCCTGGCACTGCCCTCCCTGACATACTGGTCGACTCTCTCCAGCTGCCTGGTTTAGGATCAAATAAATTAGCAAGGGCTGAGAAAAACGAAGTAGGGCAGAGCACCAGCTCCTGAAAGCAGCTGGTTGTTTCTACTACGTGTGAATGGCAAACGTCTGAGATGGAGGGAATCTCATCCATGTGGACACCCCCCACTCGCCTGTTCACATGCGCTGAAGTCTGATCTGTCTAGGTTCTTATCCTACACCCATTGCTGTAGCATCTGAGCTCCCCATGGTTTAGCACAGGCTGCGCAGCTGGAGCGCCAGATGCCTGGCTCCAGGGATCCCCCGCGTGAAATGGAGCTTTAAGAGGAGATGGCATGTGAATTGGAAAACAGGAACAGACAGCAGCAATAAGCTACTTTTCCCAGCTGATGTGGTTCCTCGCCCTTCCCCTGGGATCTAGACTAGTATGTCACTCAACAGTAGCATTAACAGAGAGATTCAGCTCTCCCGGCGGAAGGACCGTTGTGATATCTAGAATTAGAATGTGGTGTGGTGGCTCAAACCTGGAACACTAGGGGTGAAATCAGAGCCTCGCTGATCTCAAGAGCAAAATTCCCCAGCTCCATATGTCATGACCTGACCTAGTAAGGTCCCCTCAACGTTGGAATATCCCTGCTGCCACTGGTGGTGCCTGCAGTGTGATCACAGGCTTAACCGATGTTTAAGAGTTACCTTCAAGCTGAACCGTACCAGGTTGCTTTTAGTAGTGAAGTGGGGCAATAAGACATCTCCTCCCATCCAATACTCTTCTCACACCCACTCCTCCAGTTGGTGCTTCCCTCCTGCCTCCTTGGCCACCTGTTTAAGAACTAGCTTCCACAAAGACATGAATTCAGAGTATTTGCCATGGGTGAACTCCGCCTGGTACCTGCAGATTTAGGAAGGTGCACCTGGAAGAAAGTGTCAGAGCCCCCCTCCCCAGGGCTCGAGACCTTAGTGACACTCTCCTGGGAGCCTATTAATTCAGCTGAAGCCAGTTATAAACACAGTATTGTCGCAACTATGGTTCAGGGGCATATCTGTAAGTGGGTCATAGGTTGGAGTCTTCTGACAGCCATTTGAGGATGTGAGGGGCAGGAGGGGGAGAGAGGGAGGAGATTGGGAGCCTGTGACTTCGCTAGAGAAGGAAGTTATGAATCGGCCTGGCACAGCAAGCAGCAATCTACCTCCTTAAGAAACCCCCGTCCTGGGTACATATGTGACATCAATGCACTTGGGAACAGACAGGGAGTGGAGGTAACACTCAGGATTCATCAGGTGTTGCTATGTAGTATGAGGGGAGTGGGGCCGAACTCTGAGGCTACAGCTCTCCAGAAACACAGTCAGGAACACCTGCCCCCCCACCCACCAGGCACTCAAGTGTGACTTGGTCTGGAAATCTGCTCTTGCTTTAGGCCTCACAAATCCCTCCAAGGTTTGAAAACAATGCTGGGAATCTCTGGTCAAGGCCCTTGTCTGGATGGGTTTCTATTTATAAGGTAGTGGAATGGCTCTCACAAAAGTGGGTAGTTGGAGCAATGTCACACCTTCTCCCAGCAGTTGCTGGGAACGGCCAGATGAGACTGGTTCCTTCTGAACTCCAGAAACACCATGGCTTCCTGTACACCAAGGAAAGGAGCGACTGGAACATTTAAGAAAAGCCAAACAGCAACTTGCCTCCCAAGGCATGTAAACCTGTCCCAGGCTCTCCCTCCTCCACTATCATGACCAGAGAAGGAGGTTTTGCATTTAAAACTACAGGCCAGTCTCCTGGTAAGTTCGGCTCCCCCAGCAAAAAACAGATGGTTCAATACTCCCCCCTCATCTCATACCTGACAGGTGCCCAAACTTCCTCTGATCTTGACTATCCAGAGATGTATCCAGAAGCGCTTTATCGTAGGCAGGGATTTAGTATTTTAAACAAACTAGAGTAGAAATGGGATAGCACACATTATGCAATACAGCATTTAAAGGTGAAATGAAAATAATTTTGTTGGAGTCTTTTGTGCATCTTTATGATGTAACAAGAGCCTCCTTCAAAAAAAGGTTTTCCCCCTCTTTGTTATAGACCTTAGAAAAGGAATACCCAGTCTGGTTTCTCCCCAGCCTGGCTGGACACCCTCTTCAAATATACTGATAGGAAGAGTCTATATCACATCATTGCATCTTACCAAGGAGGCATAGTCTTATTTTTCAGTCTATAACCCATTTTGTCACTGGCTGTGCAGATAGCTGAATCCCATTCACAGATACCGTTGGGACCCCTCTGCCTAGGATTCAGAATACTGCACAAGAAAAAGAGACTTGAATATCTAAGGTAAAAAACAAAAGCAGACAAACAACACCTTTGACAAAAACTTTTCAAACTGCCTTTCTCCATCATAAAAAACAAAAGCACAACCACAGTTAATCTCCCTTTGCAGGTCACCTTCAAGGCATCCCTGGGGTGACTTGCTCTTCTGAGCTTAATGGCTATTTAAGGATTAGCCAATCTGAGGCAATAGAACTAGGGAAGTTCAAGTGCCATTAAGTCATTGGCGTCTTTGGCAGGACTGCCAACAAGGGTGCCAACTGGGATAGTAACTTTATTCTCTGATGTGAACACCTGCCCACTAGAAATTGGACAGAAGCCATCAGCTCACAGACAGGACACCTAACAGCTGTCAAATGGTAATGACTTTCGGCGACTACCAGCCTGGGTTGGATTTGAAGTGCACTGAGCTATAAGTGAAAGGCTCCATATACAGTTGCCAAGCCATCGAGCCAGCCAATAAAAATGCAGGTAATTCCTGCAAGCCAAGGATCAATCACAGCCTTCTTTGTGCTAATCTGCTTCTTACATTGCTAAACTGGAGGTCTACCCTCTGAGGTGTTGGGCGCCACCCATTTCGCTCCAGCAGATGATCACTAAGATTGTGGGGTTGCTGCACTCAGGATAAAACCACAGGTGTTTTCTTTTAATGGAAGCCTGAAGCAATCCTTTTGCCACTCCACTTTCACTGGGAAAGGAGCGAAACAGGTACTGAGCAAGAGCAGGGACGACTCCCAACTGCTCCCATCATCCTAAAAAGGGAACTCTAAATGGCTTAACATGCCAGCCTCACATTCTTACCAAGCCAATCTGCTTCATAGCAAGTGATTTGTTAGCTATCTGGGGGAGCACAGCTGATACGGCCTTGCTAGGAGGTGTCACATGCCACAGCGATGGAGGATTAATGCAAAGAATTTAAGGTCAACCACTTGGGCCAAACCAGCTTCTATTTATAAGTATGAAGGAAACCACAGGGACGGCAGCAGCACAATTAGGCTTGGTGAGACTGGGTGTAGACAAGGCGCACACTATACAAGGACGCCATGCTCTAAGCTCTCGGATATGTACCTCATCTCCTTATTAGTTTGGAACTTCAGCTTTAGTACTAGAGGGGCTAAAACAGTGCTACTTCACCTTGCGTGGGTCGTGAAATGCAGGATGTGAGTAGAGCTGCAGTGCTTACAGCTTCATAAAAGCCTGTCCACATCTAACAAAAGCTTCCCCTCTTTCTCATACACATTAAATTACAAACCCTGCATTTCTATGACTGTCCCTTTAAACTGAACTTACCCAACGTCACTCCTAGTTGACAAATGGGTGTCACTGTAGAAACACACGAGAGTCACCTTCCACAGCTGGGATGGGAAGCAGAGTCAACTGATAGGACTGCACGTCAACTGGAGTTATGAACCCCTGAAAACGGGTTTTTCAGGGGACTGCTGATATGAGATACTGCCTTAACTACATGCAGTAAAAATAAAGTCAACACCAGCCACAGAACAATAGAAATGTATGGCTGGAAGGGCAGGACCATCTACACCTGGTCCATCCCTGACAGGTGTTTGTCTAAACAGTTCTTAAAAACCTTCAAAGACGTGGATTCTGCAACTCCCTTAGAAGCCTATTCCAGTACTTAACTATCCTTATACAGACCCTCCTCGGGGGAAGTACAACACATCAAACTAATATCAAGCTGCTACTTCAAACGCATCTTTCATAGTGCAGAGAAAATCCATTACATCACTTGGGGGTTTCATCGAGGTCAGATGCATTAAAATAGAGAGAAAATGTTTTTCTGGATGCCTTCAAGGCATGCTTTAAAAACATTTGCTAAATATTTTCAAGTAAACACATACAAGACAAATTCACAAATGTTACTGACTGGAGCGGAGCGCCATGAAGAAAAATATCTCACAGAGGTTGGTAAAAGTGTAGCTGACAGGGAGATCCAATGCCCAAAGCCATAAGATGAAAAGCATTAGTGCTTCTAGATGGATTTCATATTTTAATACAAAGGCCAAAAGTCTTTCCTATAAATTGTACTCAATTGTGATCATTTTTTGCAAAGCCTACTATAAAAATGAAGAGGAGAGAGCCCTGGCTCCCCACCACTTTATTGAGCATGGCCGCTAACAGTATTTGTGCTGTACTTTCCTAATTTCTCATCTGAACTGACTTTCTCCTTCCCCAGCAGGCTCAGACTGGACCCATGATTCTTGGCATTTCAGTGAGGTGAGCACGCACAGCTGTCACTTGATGGGTCAAATATACTAGCCCGGTCATAAAAAAAAAAGACTGACTTCCATTGACTTCAATGAAAGCTGCACTGGTTTAGACCAAGGGCTGAATTTGGCCAATACAGCCCCTTCTCTCTTACATAAGTGGGCTGGACAAGAGGCATCCTTTCACAGCATCTATATCCAATCCAAATGGAGCTGGTATAATGCAAGCTTGTTTTTTTCTGGATACGTGCTGAAAAATTCTTCCACACAAACCACAGTGAAGCAGATAAAACAGTTTATTAAAGAGCAAGAACAAGTATTGCATAAAAATCAGCATTAAGGGTTTTTAAAAAAGGAAGTAGAATTGATATTTCAAAGGAAAGATGATCTGATGCTTGAGCGTGAAGAGGATTCACAAACGGAGCAGCTCTAACTTGGCTGACGACAGCGTGGGTGGAAGGGGCTCATGAACATCCCCTCTCAGCTTCTCCAACCACTAAACCCAGAGGTGGATCTGTGAAACAGCAGCACAACACAACAGTGAAAGCGAGAGTCCCTCTTCATCTAGATCAATCTAGAAAATCTCTAAAGCGTCCAAGAACCTCCATCCCAATCAACGTGCCACTGGAAGCTTTTTAATAGAACGCATTGGCACTTCCTGCACCTTTCAACTGAGGATCTGAGAGAGCTTTAACACCACTGTCTCAACGTACCTGTTAAGTAGATATGCTTATGTTTATTCTACTCATGGGGAAACAGAAGCACAAAGTTTAAATGACTTGCATAAGGCAACCCAGCAACTCAGTGGCAGAGTGGGGATAGAAATAGGAATCTTGCCTCCTAGGAGTACTCTAACCACTAGACAAAGCCTCATTTAGATCAGGAAGATGATCTAGTATTTTGCACCATATTTCCATTTCTATTATGGGGATAAATATTTACCTATCCCTACTATGCATTTTGCGACCAAGAGAAAAAAGTAATACATAATCCCCTGTAAAAGAAAATTTACAGTTAACTACATAGGAAAGGACACGATCAAGAAACTTGCCATCTAGATACTGAGCTGTGTATATTACTATTAAAAGGAGAAACGAGAATGAATGAAATAAGCATCCTCCTTTACTGCTTAAAATTTCAACTAGGATTAGCATTTTAGTGTGCTTTCCAAAGCTTCCTTTCACACATCATCTAGCATTTCTATTCTAGTTCTTTTTATGTGTTTAATGAAAATCAGATACAAGGCAGTGATGGGTACTTACGAGTTAGATGATCCAAAGCCAAAGCCTGAGAGAAATGCAAGATTAAAGAAGGATTATTGTTAAAGGCCTAAAGAATGCATGCGACACATAGTATGGTCACCCTCCCATATTCCCTTAGAACAGGGGTTCTCAATCTCTTTCTGAGCCCCTCCCCCCCCCCCAAACATGCTAAAAACTCCACGCCCCCCCTTGTGTCACAATTGTTTTTCTGCACGTAAAAGCCAGGGGGTAGCAAGCAGGGCAATTGCCTGGGGCTCCCCACCACACGGGCCCCTACAAAGCTACATTGGCTCAGGCGCTTCAGCCCCGGGTGGCGAGGTTCAGGGCCCCTCAGGGCTGGCTGTGTTCTCTTGGATTCTGCCAGTTAAGATTTCTGGGCAGAGATCCACCTGATGCCTGTTTAGCCTTCGCTCTCTCAAATTTGCGGTAAAACCAAATAGGAAACTGAAATAGGCATTTATCGTAATCCGAAAGGGGAAAAATACACCTCTCAATTCTTCTCCCATTCCCAGTTTCGTAAACCCCAACTGGTCAACAACAGGCAATGGGAGCAAGCGTCACAGCTGAGTTCTGAGAAGGACAGGCACAGGGATATGCTAGGTCTCTCCCACTTCACTCTCTGACAGGGACATTTCAGCTCCTCATACCTCCTCCACTTGACCCAAAGCCAGAAAATCCACTGCTTTGTGTGCCAAAACCAGTAGTCTGCTGGGACAGCGACCCGAATGTAGGAGCATTTTGATTTGCCAGGGTGCCAAATGATGCAGTATTGTTACTGGTGCCACCAAAACTGCAATTCAAAGAGAAAACACAAATATTTCATCACTCAATAAAGGAAGACCACGTGTCTGCCCCCACCTCCCTGAAAGTAGCACCCCCTGAAGCCCACAGAACCTCTTTTATTATATACCCACTCACTGAGAGATGCTTATTTCTTGGTTTTATTAAGAATTTTGCACAGTACTACAACCACCCTTCTGCCCATCTGCCCTTCAGAGGAAACAAGAAGTGAGCACATGGAGAAAAAGTTTAACTTAACACATGACAAGCAACTGTGGTGCATTTTCATTCCACGAAATCCCAACTCCTGCCATCATGGGGAATAGAATAAATCACCCCCACCACCATCACTTTTTATCCATCCAGCTCAAAAATTCTGCATCATTACTGTATCTTACAGAGAGGGAAAACAGAGACAGAGAGGTTGTGTGATTTGCCCAAGGTCACACAGCAAGGAGTATGACACAGCCAGGATTTGGAACCCAGTCTCTTGATTCCCAGGGCAGTGCCTTATTCAGTGAACAATACAGCCCTTCCATAAAGTCTTCTCCAGCCTTATTTCCTTCTCCTTTCTATTCTGAAGTATGCATCATTCTGCTTCCTTCCTGAACCTCTCCTTGCCTTTGTTCTAATAGGTAAAGTGAGAGAAGTGTCACTTAATAATACAAAGAGGTAAATAAATTAACTTTATAGCTTTGGGGGACACAGTCTGTCTGAAAAATGATACTCAAATGTAGCTTTATAGAGAGAAAGCAGATCTACCCTTCCCCACTCACCCCATCCAACCAAGCACTGTACAGGCAAATATTTCCTTTTTAAAAATAACCCACCACCGCCAGTATCACATCAATGAAATGCCATGATAATTCCATCTAACATGGTTCTCACTGGCACCAACACCCTCTCACAATTTTGTATGTTATATTTATGCTTGAAAACAATGGGCTTATACCACAGATATAATATCTGGAACTGGGAATAGTGTGGGCATGAGCTATCCAAGTTTCTCATCACAAAACTCTGATAATGCACCTCAGCACGGAGTAATGCAGCCAGCCAGCGATGCCAGTCAAGTTAAACAGTGTGCCTGTTTCCTGATGCTGATAAAATGTCAAGTAGGTAGTAGGCTGAGCCCAACAAGCTCCATTCATTTGTGAAGCTCAATCTGAACCGACAGTGAATTAATCCACTTCTCCATCCATTCAGATCAAGGGTACATTCTTTGAAGCATCAAAACATACATCTCGAAAAGAGACAGCCCTTGCAGAAGTGCTGCATGCAAGTCTCTTGATAAAGAAAAGTAATCCTCTCTGCCTTGCTCTCTTTAAGAGACAGTTGTCTATGCAGGTAGTTTCCATATATGGTATTAGATTCAGACAGGCATTTCAGTCACTTTGCCTTTCAACACTGAAGCCTGCTAGCCACTGATAGCCCTGAATAAGATTGCTGACGTGGCTAGTTGCAGATGGCTTTGGCTCTTGATTGTAAATGAAATGTGATATTGCTTTTCTTAGTATTTTTTAAGAGGGGGAGGAAGGGCCAGTGGTTGACAAGGTTTTTATGACTGTTCTGTCTCCCCAGGCTGTGCGCCTCTATCAAATAAACCATCTCTACTAGCTATGGAAAGAACTGGACGTAAAATTAGCAACAAAGAAACCTGTGGTTTAACTGCCTCAGTCTTTCAGCTACTACTACAGGCTGTTGAAAAAGACTAGGCAAGGTAAGAATACAAAAAATAGAAAAATTACAAGTCATTGCCATTGACTTTACTTTAACGGCGTAAGTTCCATTTCTAGAGCTGGAGACCTTAACCTATCAATCTGGTTGTGACCAAACTCCTCTCCCAGATTCTCGGGGATTTTCTCATGCAGCGTCACTGCGAGATTGAGAATTTGGAGGGAGTTGACATTAAGGTGGTGACAGTGAAGGCCTGTCCCCATCCCAAGTTGTCTTTAGATTTGATAAAGAACTTTGCAGGTATCAAGAAACAGAAGCTGCTTTTTGCTGCACTTCCTCAAAGCAATGTAAACTGTTGAGAAATGATGCAACTAACCACATGACTGATTTTGCAGCACCGTCTAATGGGCTGAGCACAAGACTGAAAGGAGCTGAGTACTAATCCTAGAGTACTAATCCTACCTCCAACACCTTGGGCAAATGACATTACCTGCATTTCAGCTTCTCAACCTATCTCTGTCGTCCGTCCCCCCCACCAACGCCTTGCAGTAATGGTGGGGGGAGGAGGCACAGACAGATTCCACTACTGCGGGGGAAGAAGGGGTTGACAGGAAAAGTTTGGGCACAGCTGATTTAAGCCAATTAGGGTGGGATTTCAATGCTTCCTAGGGAATTTGGACACCCAATTCCCATTTTATTTTTTTTTAAATAGGGACACAATCTCTTGGAATAAACTTTTCAAAGCTGCCCAAGTCTCTAGCTTCTAAGGTTGTGAAGAAAACGGAGTGCAAGCCATTGAAGTGCTTGCTTCCCAAGTCTTCAATTCCTTAAACAAGAACTCTCATTAAGATGTGAATAGCTACATTCCTGAAAATGAGATGTTAACTCTGAATCCTAATGATGGGACTTGAAATTTCAGTGCTGCTGACATTAGCTATTTGGTGCGTGTGTTTTCAATACAAAATTCTGCAGCACAATAGCAATGGGAAGCACTATGGCAGAGCAACATAAATTGAGTTTAATATCCAATTAAATACAGTTAGTGCAGTATTCCTTGTGTTTGCTTTTAGATTTGAATAAACCCCTCCATTTTTAGCTTATCCGCTGCACTGCAGTACTACAGAATTCAGGGATCTTGCAGCAGAATTTACAATGAGCTTGCCATGGAATACGGTGGGCCTTGGAGAACACCTAACTGACTGCCCCATGAAGGTGCTGAGAATTAACTACTTAACATTTGCAAACCCATCTTGAAGATGGAAAATACGGAGGTGCATTATGTAAAGGTGGTTCCTCTCTGAACCCAATGCAGACACTTGTGAGATATGCAAACACTGAGATTGAGGGGATTACAACAGAGTGCAAAAAATAAAGGCTGGGTGGTTTTTCCACTGGATCTTGCGACAGACAGTTCTCCAAGACTTCCCTGCAGAAAATGATTGGGACTGATTATTATTATGGGATGTGTACATACAGGAAAGGGTCGCCTTGAAAGCTAGGTATCTACCAGCAACTCTGAAGTGTGGGGTGGAACATTTGCAGCTTCACAAGGTTTGAAACCATGTACTTGCTTGGTGGAACAGGGAATAAAGTAAGTGCTGTCTGCTGCAAGATAAGATTTCAGTGCCATGTAAGTGATCAAAGGTAAAAAAATCAGTATTCCATCTCTGGAATCGACCACATATTACTAGTAGGGTCTGTGCAGGGATGAGCTATCATATTGAACTCTTCTCAAAATCTCTCTCCCACCCCAAAAGTGGGACTGATTTTAGAGATTAAACAAATTTATCATTCCATATTTATCATTCCAAGCCCCCTTGCTTGGCACATTTAGAACTAGACTGGAATGCACACTAACAAAAGTGCAAATAGGAAACAAACCGGCTCTCAGATACGTGGGCTGGATGGCCTAGGTCTTTCTCACTTCTGTATTCTAGGGTTCAATTTGATAGCTCCCAAATTAAAATGAGAACCTGTTACTTTCATTAGGGCCAGCATGGTCGGAATCATAAAATACTGTTTTTTGCTGTTTCCCTTTCGGTTGGGCTTTTCTAATGAGGAAGCCCATTGCTCAGTGATCAACCCTAGATCCCTAGACCCTTCTTTATTTGCAGAATCGATTGGATACAGAATGAAGCATAACAGTTTCAGACAGAACAAGAACACTGATTTCCCAGTCCCTAGACCCTCTTTGGCTTACCCAAATCCTCCGGTGTTGGCTGCAGCTGTACCCTCGCCGAACACTTTGCCTCCCGTCGAGCCCAGAGGGCTTGTAAAGGCTGGGGCTGAACCGAATGCTGGCACCCCTCCAAACCCAGGGGACCCCCCAAAAGTGGGAGGGCTGCCAAACACTGGAGCAGCACCGAAGCCACCTGAGCAAAACAGAGGCAAAAAAGGGACAAGAACATCAAGTAAACAATAACAGAGAAAAAAAGAAAAACAAAATTAGATTTCCAAGTAGACAGATTCTAGAATGAGGGCGGACATTCCTGTACATGGTCACAGTATTATCTATGGATAATACAGCTACAACCAAGCTTCCAAAATGCAGCCCATTTTATTACAAAAGGCATGGGTAGGAAAGCTTGTGAACGCCTTCCAAAACCAGCCCAAAGACACAAAGACTATCCAATGGGCAAGTGCAGTTTGGGTGGCTTGAGCAGCTGAGCTTGATTCCCAGAATTACATTTTAGAGAGCATAATTTTCAATTTAAATTTAGCTACACATAAGGGGATATATACAGTGTACAAAGCCCACTAACACACATTCATGCTTGTATGGTGTGTGAAGGAATCAAAACAGTCTACTTGCTTTATATAAACTAGATGCTTTAATTGCAATTGAGCAGAGTATTCACGTTAACTGGGTTATACTGGCAATTAAAAATACATGTGGCAATAAATTATAGACTGATGCTTTTCATTTATTTAAACAATGCTCATGCATCCTTCATCAATGATCTCATGTCCCTTACTGCGGAAGGGAAGAGCTTAGCTTCTGCAGACAGTTTTACAAACCTAATCACCAGGAATTAGATAAGTTATTAAGGTCTGAAGGAACTCCTGTGCAAAAAAACCAGGATGAAAAATTCCCTGCGTAGGTTGGTTCCACTGACAACACCCCCAACAAAATGCAACAGGAGATATTTTACCACAGCTACATATCTGATATGAAAGATAGCTTATACACAAACCTGTTGGATCAACAATATTGTTGTGCTGCACATAGATCCTTAAAAACATGGAAGGATTCTCAATGCAATGGGTAAGATTTGCTCTTCTCTACCTATTGTGACAAGATGGCAGATGTTCGTATGGTGGGTCCTGCGCTTTTCTTGAGGGGGGGGAGGGTGCTAAGACGCCACCCCTTGCCCCTGCTCTTGGGCGCTGAGGGCCCCACTAGTGGCCCGGGAAGGTGGTAGAGGAGGGAAACAGGGGAGGGGTCTGGGTTTGCTCCATGCTGAGTCCCAGCCCCTCTCAACCCTTGTGGGTCTCTTTCCCTCCTCCCCCATGGGTGGAGTTACCCTCGGTCCTTAGACGCAGGGGCAGGGTCTCCCTTACTTTGGTTCTCTGGTCTTTCAAATCTCACATACACATCCAAGCTCCAATCCTCTCTCCTTCCTCCTCTTCCTCCAACTGCCTGAAGCAGGGGATTTTATTACGTTCCTGACAGGGCCTTAACTGACTACAGGTGCTCCAATTAACCTGTAGCAACCCTCCCTAGTCTACAGGGAACCACATCTTAATTAGCCTAAGGCTTATATATTTCCCCTCTACCACTGCTCCCTGGCCCTCCTGTATCACCCTATGTTCTTATACGCTACCCACCATAGCACCTGAGCACCTCAAACAGTAAATTTACCTTTAAAGGACTAATGAGGGAAGGAGATTTTTTTTAACCTCCAATTAGAGATGGGGAACTAAGTCACGGGATTATGTGCCTTGTTCATGGTCATTCAAGGAATCAGTGGCAGAGCCAAGAATTAAACTAGGCCTCAAGGTCCCATTCAGTGTCTTAACCTCCTCCTTCTACACAACATAATAAAAACCTTTTATTAGGATTTTTCTGCTCTACATTCACTCTGCTGATGCTGTTTGCCTGTTTAGAACTGACTACATGGATCTTAAAGGGCACGTGCTGGTTTGTTCGATTAAGGCTGAGGTTTGGGATAACACCATGCATTTTAATACCCTGAGTGAAATTCCAGTCCAGGCCAAGATAATGGATACTGTCTGGTTGTAAACACAAAGGTCTGGAAAAAATAAAAGCTGGGGCTGAATTATTGAAACAGATCAGATATCCGGTTACACTTTATTTCTAGAGACACAGGTCTTTACCTAGCTCCTTGGAGCTTAGTTCTGGACCAGACTCTCTTGTATACTGTGTGTTAATGAACATAAAAATGAGAAGGCAACGCAATATATAGACAGCAAACCAGGAAAAAGAAAGCTCTGTAGCAAGTCACGCCCCTTCTTCATCCCATACTAAATAGGAAACTACAGACTATTTTTATGGTGTCTAACACCTAGACTTGGCTGTGGAAAGGGCTTTAAGGAGGTTCCACATCACTAAATCGCCTACTACAATAACCTGTCAGAAAATCCCATCTCAAGATTTATTTTGAAACTGGAGTTAGAGAATTATCTCCTTTCCTTCAATAAGGGGGGAAAGGGGGAGAATCATTCACCTATCTCCAGCACCCAAGATAAAAGATACAAGGCTGGCCTGATAGGCAGAATATAATTATAATAATTACAATTAATAATTATATGCTTGATACACTATCACACTGAAAGTAGTATTTAGGAGAAACACTGGACATGGTTACTGAGGCTAGTAGCATCAACTGACAGTATCGACTACCTCACTTACCCAAAAGCAAAGTCACCACTAGTGCCATGGCTGCCATGTTAAAATACTATCCCATGAAGGACCACTTCTGTAAGGGGTACGTTGGAGCACCATTCTCTGAATTCTATGGCGTCAACCTTTGTATAGCCTTTTCCCAAGGAAATTCCAAGTTGCAAAGGTGCCAACTGGAGGAGTATTCTAAGGTTAGATGAAAGAATTCTTGTTTTGTCTAACCCTTTGGTTTTCTATTTTTGTTTGGTAATTATCAAGGCAAACACCTCGTTCAGTTGAAACAGACTTCATATCAGTCTCCATTACTCCCAATGTTTGCAGTAGGCAAATTACCATGGAATAGGAAAAAGAATTAGGCAAGATTTCCAAGAATGTAATAGTCAACAGAACAGCACAGAATCATAGAATATCAGGGTTGGAAGGGACCTCAGGAGGTCATCTAGTCCAGCCACCTGCTCAAAGCAGGACCAATCCCCAGACAGATTTTTACCCCAGTTCCCTAAATGGCCCCCCTCAAGGATTGAACCATGTATTTCAGTGTTCACTACAGACTAATTACAGAAGAGAAAGTGCCACATGTGTAACAGCAAGGTCAGACTGATTTTTAAAAAGTAGATCTGAAGCTTTCCTGACTTGGACTTTTTGGGGAAAGTCCCACCAAAGACTCTGGTGCATACAAGGCCATGATGGGTTTATGACAGAACGGGTTACACAAGAAGGGAATTCGGGATCATCAATAGGCAAAAACACGCAGTTCACAATAAGTTCTATAAATCACATTGCACGCTACACTGTCAGTGAGCTATATACGCCTGGCACTAACACTTACAGCTCACTTCCCTACAAATTGAATGGCAGTTTCTACAATGAACCCTGTGAAGATAAAGTCTACTAAGTGTTTTTGTGCAGTTCAGGTTCTAAATCATTAAGTTTTGAATCTAGTATCTGAATTTCCACTTGCTGGGACCTGCTTTTTGGAAGGAGATAGATGGTACCTGTGACGGTACCTCCCATAAGGCTTTATGGAAATATGCTTAGAATGTGTTTTATGCTACACATGCCTGTAACATATCTCAAAGATTATGATCTACTGAATGTATTAATCCTATTTGTATGAATGTATCATTTTCGTATTCGAAGTTATGAATGTTGGCTGTGTACTGGCTTGATTTCTAAATAACCTTAGTAGAGCATTTGGTCAGCTCCTGGAGAAAGGAATGTTGAAATTAAGTTCCTAATCAAGAAACACTTAAAGGACAATGGATCTTGGAATGCTCCAATCCACATAAGAAGTCTACTTGAGGACGTTCAAGGTAGCATGTAAACAATGGATGCTACCTGTAAAAACTGAGAGTCATGCATGGACATGTGACTTGCCCAGGTGACTCCTAAACTCCATCTTGGAGCTCGACTTTGCATAGGAGTGAGGAGGGGGTCTCCACCCACAAGAGAAAGTCTATTTAAACCCCTGGGAGACCCCTCCATTTTGTTTTCAGCTGGCTAACGAGAGAGCCCCTCCAACCCCCAGAATACCTCGAAGAAACTGGAACAAAGGGCAGTGACTGCAAGTGGTATGAGTGATTGCTGGATCCAGGCTAAAAGGAGATTAGTCTGTAAAAGGGAGCATTCTGGAACTGGTGAGGATCTTATCTGTATTCAGTTTGATTAGACAGATTTGCGCATTTTATTTTATTTTGCTTGGTGACTTATTTTGTTCTGTCTGTTACTACTTGGAACCACTCAAATCCTACTTTCTGTATTTAACAAAATCACTTTTTGCTTATTAATTAGCTCCGAGTATGCATTAATACCTGGGGAGCAGACAACTGTGCATCTCTCTCTATCAGTGTTATAGAGGGCGAACAATTTGAGTTTACCCTGTATAAGCTTTATACAGGGTAACACAGATTTATTTGGGTTTAGACCCCATTGGGAGTTGGCCATCTAGTGCTAAAGACAAGCACACTTCTGTGAGCTGCTTTCAGGTAAACCTGCAGCTTTGGGGTAAGTAATTCAGACCCTGGGTCTTTGTTGCAGCAGACAGGTGTGTCTGGCTCAGCAAGACAGGGTGCTGGAGTCTTGAGCTGGCAGGGAAAGCAGGGGTAGAAGTAGTCTGGGCATATCAGGTGGCAGCTCCCAAGGGGGTTTCTGTGATCCAACCCGTCACAGTACCATATGGTGGAGTATCATGCAGGGGCAATACTCATGCATATGATCTTCCATACACTGGGTCTGGGGTGTAGATCTCTGACTACTGAAACACACTACTCAATATCTTACAAGTAAGTGTGGGTGTTTATAGCGGGTTTGTTAATACAATACCTGCTTTGGTTGGACTAGAGAACCCAAAGCCTTGAGCGGCCACGGTCCCGCCTCCAGAACTGAAAGTGCCTGTAGGTTTCTGCTCTCCATAAGATGAGTTGCCAAATCGAAAGGTCTTGGCCCCATTGTTTCCAAATAAGCTAGAGGTATCTAGAGAGATGAAGGATACTCGTGAAGCTCATAAGAGACAAAAAGAAGCACGTTCCCAAAAAGCACATAATGAATATTATATCCAAAATGGCAGTCTATGGAGAGAAACCAAGTTTGTCCTAATCCCTGTTCTAATAAACTACACTAGTAGCCACTTCATTGTCTCATTCTTCACTGACAACAAGACAGATGTAACTACTGTTATCTCCAGTGTTGACCATCTGGTGTGATAGTGCAATAAAAAGTGGAAGTCAATCCTTCAAATAAGAAATTATGGTCACGGGAAACAGTCACTCATGGTGACACAAGTTTACCATCTAGATTTCATGCCTTGAAAAGAATGGTTATGTGACCTAGAGTAACTGATTCTTTGAGACGTTGTAGTCAGTGTGGATCCTACTGTAGGTGCAAATGCACCTTTCGCACACAAGTTCAGAATCTTTTGAACAGCACCGTCTCTTGGGGCCCTGCATGTGTCCTGTGCCTACTCATGCTCCCGTGAGGGATGATAAAGGTTGGAGCAGCCACGACCCTCCCTCTGTTCCCTCGATTTGTAGCCCATGTTAGCTGAGGACTCCAAACGCAGAGATGGAGGGCAAGTCATAGGATCCACACGAATTACAACATCTCGAAGAACCGCTGTTAATGTAGGGTAAGTAACCATTCTCTCTTCTTTGAGTAGGTCAGTATGGATCCCCCTATAAGTGCCTGGCAAGCAGTATCCTCTTCAGGATGGAGGAGTGCCCGGTTCATCAGTCAACCAGGAATCTGAATACTGTTCTCCTGAATCTGGCATCGGATCTATCAGCCAAGTCCAATGCATAGTGCTTTACAAACAAGAGTGGATTGTTTCACCTAGCAGCCTTGCATATGCGCATTCTGGCACATTTTGGAAACAAGTCGAGGATGTTGCCTGAGGTCTGGTAGACTGATCCTTGAGGGACAGTGGGGAGCTCATAATAGTGCGATATACTGAGTTACCCTCTTTGGGATGAAATAACTGAGACTAGAGGGCTCCAGTAGCACCAACAGTACAATGGTGGCGGATTGTACTGGTACTGGCCAGACTGGGTGGCACATCCACTGCAGGTGCTGCGCTCAGCATATGACGCGGTGTTTGGGGTCTCTCTGTCCTGGGGTCGGTGCCGAGGACGTCTGTCTCATCTATGATGCCAAGGAGGTGCCTGTTGGTGCACGCGCTCCCGGTGCTGACATGGTTCTTTTTGATCTCCTCTCTTCACTGGAACCAGAAGTGAGCCTTGTTGCTGAGGCATTTGCTGAAGAAATGCTCCTTGGTTCCACCTTGGATGAGATCTCCCCGAGGTCTGAGGCCACCTTCATGGATTGCTCCAGGACGTGCAGTTTGAGCCTTACATCCCTTGATTTTTGGCTGCAGGAGAAGGAGCAGCAAATGGAGCATTTATCAGCAATGTGTCCTTCCCTGCGGCAGAAGAGACATCAGCTATGCTTGCCTATTGGGGGCAACAGACGGTTGCCTGAAGGGCAGGGTTTAAACCCTGAGGCTTGGAGTTTCCACTTCCAATGGTTGTACAACCTCGCTCTGCTGCAGAGTGGGTCTCCCCCTACAGTCTCTTCTCTCTTCTGCCCCCTCCCCCCACTTTGGAAGGTCCAACTAAATGGTAAAATCGATAACTCAACTAACACAAGTGAGGAACAGTTTTCATGATAGTTTTTTGAAACTCAGACAAATGCTGAAGCAGGTCAGACCCTCGCTAGCTTCCGCCTCACCACCATGGGTGGTACGAAGGGACAGAGGGACTGCTCTGCCAGTTAGGCACCCTTACAGGGGAGCACAAGGAGGCACGGGGTGCATACATGGCTGATGGACACAACTGTTCCAAAGATTCCAAACTCACATGTACACATCGACATTGGGATCCATACTGACAAATACCTGAAGAACTACTAAAGATTCTTAAAAAGCAACAAAGAGTCCTGAGGCACCTTATAGACTAACAGATGTATTGGAGCATAAGCTTTCGTGGGTGAATACCACATGCGCATGCGTCTGACGAAGTGGGTATTCACCCACGAAAGCTTATGCTCCAATACATCT